CAGAAGGGAAATAAAAATTAAACAATTTAGTTCGGAGATAAAAACTTCTTCGGAAACAATTTAAAATCGCAAAACCTTAAGAAAGACAATCCCCGCAGGAGCACAGAGACCTTATTTGTTAAAAAAATGAGATTTTTGCTTAGGGCAGAATAGCGCGGAAAACGGAGGAAGGAAAGGGCGAAAAAAAGGGTTGCTTTCATCTCAAATCCGTTCAATTTCACAAAGAAGCCGTTGGGGAAAATTGAAGTGGTCACCTGGAGAGTACCCCTACTGAAATAAATGCATTTCTCCAAGAAACCCTGAATGATCCATACAGACAACTGGAACTTGTAGAAAATACGTGCTTGATAAAACCTAATGCGCCACCAACGGCTTTCGAGTTGAGAGAACCAACCTGGATGAAATTAATGCAGTCATGAAAGCAGCCAGGTCGGCTTTTACACCGGATCCAAACGAATGTCTTACATAGATTATAAACGCTGTCCAAAACGTCTTCGCATGTTATGAAAATTACCTGAAATAATATGGCGGAGAGGTAAAATAACAGAACAATGGAGGCACTCCGAAGGTATTTGGTTCCCTAAAGATGAAGCAATTAGAAAGATAGACCAATTCAGATGCATTCTAGAATGTATAAAACACATAGGATTCGTCTCACAGTTGTTAAAAGACGCAAAGGCAAACAGAGGTGACATAGCCGTCTTGTGGATGGACCTTAAAATGCCTGTGGTTCAATTACACATAAACTAATGGAAGAAGCACACCAACGCCATCATGTCCCTAATAAAATCACCGAGCTTATTTCAGAATATTATAACAATTTTCATATAAGAACGGCGTCGGAGAATACTGCGTCGGTATAGCATAAACTGGAAAGCGGTATTATAACTGGATGTAGAATCTCAGTTATTCTGTTTTGCCTAGCTATTGCTATGATAATAAAAGCCACAGAAGTAGAATGCAGAGGCCCGATCACTAGATCTAGACTAAAACAACCTCCGATAAGAGCTTATATGGACGACATGACAATAACAACTAGGTCTGCTATTGGTGTAAGATGGCTGCTAAAGGGGGTTGAAAAAACACACCACATGGGCCTGAATGAGTTTCAACCCCTGGTCGCTCGTTTTAAAAAAAGACAAATTATCGGAGAAGGAGTGGTTCAGACTATCCTGGGAATACATTGCAACAATTAAAGAAAAGCCCATAAAGAGTCCAGGAAAACGCATTGATCATTCTCTAAAAGACGCGACAGCAATTCAGGAAACGAAGGATAAGCGAGAAACGTGGTTAAAGAGGCATTATTTACATTATTCGGACTATTGTCCTCATCTTTGTCGCCATATTACAACGTTTCGGCCGCTGTACGCTCCGTCCTTCTTCAGGTGGTTGGAATGTCGAACTTAACCCTTTATTTCGCTCACTGGGGTAGACTGTTCTCGTCTGGAAGTTCTGCACTGCCTTAACCGGGTATTGAACTCACACTCTTTGGGTCCTGTCACTGGATCTAGCCAACGCCTTTATCCACATTCCAACCACCTAAAGAAGGCCGGAGCGTACAGCGGCCGAAACGTTGTAATAGATATGGCGACAAAGATGAAAATAGTCCGAATAATGTAAATAATGTACATAATACCTCATCTCAGAAATATAGACAGCGACATGAAAAGTTTGTACTGGTGGTTAAAGAGAGTTGATAAGTCCGACTTGCCTGGACGTTTTGAAGCATGGATCTATGAACACGACATTCTTCCCAAGATCCTATGAATGTACGACTTTTTACATAGAACAATTAAAAAAGAGGATCAGTTCACGATTGCATAGTTGGCTGACTAGCGCTGCCCTATACGGCAATTCCAACGCACTGCAACTTCCTTTCAGAAGCCTAGTAGAGGAATTTAAAATCACCAAAGTTAGAACAACAATGCAGTATTAGTATATATATATATATATATATATATATATATATATATATATATATATATATATATATATTCTCCAAAGTTCCAAAGGTGACCGAAACGGGCATCGAAGTCTACCCAGGAAAGAAATGGAGAGCAGAAAATGAATTACTGATAGCGGAAGAACGACTTCGAGAAAAGGCATTATTAGGGCCATAGCTACAGGAGGCCTGGGCTTAGGGTATTTTCCTACCGTTCAGATGGACAGGGATAAAGAAAAAGCTAAGAACCTTCTTATACAAGAGGAAATACGTAAGGGTGAAGAGGAGAAAAGGTTGGCAAAAATGGTGGGAGTAAGCCAACAAGTAGCATGAACCAAATGGAGATCCATAATTTATAGGAAGATAAAATGGTTCGATATATGGCGTAACGACACAGGCATAAGGTTCCTAATTCAGGCTGTATACGACATCTTCCCCAGTCCCATTAACCTCCACTTATTGTATAAAACGGAATCGCACATATGTCCATTGTGTACGCGTCAAGGGACTTTAAAACATATTCTAAATAGAAGTCAAACAGCACTAACACGGAAGGTCGCTATAGATGGAGACATGATCAAATTTTAAAGTATATAGCAGAGGTAGTCAAGATGGCCATCAGTACTAATACATTAAATCTTGATAAAAGAGCTATAAATTTCTTAAAGCTGGTGATAAACCTAAAACAAAGAAAACGTCCACAGCAAATACTTTGTCATTGGCAACGAAATGGGAATTAAGGGCCGATTTAGGAACAAGACTAGCATTACAGGACCACATCGATCAAGCATTACTACGTCCAGAAATAGTGTTCTTATCAAACACTATAAGGAAAATAATAATGTGGGAATTAACAGTGCCTTGGGAAGAGCATGAAGAACAAGCCCATGCACGGAAGTACGATGATTTGTAACGAGTTGCAAAAATAATGGATGGAAATCAGGTTGTCTGCCAATGGAAGTGCACGCAAGAGGTTTTGCTGCAAGGTCCTTATGCAAAGCCCTCTAACTGATATTAGCTTGGTAGGTGCTAAGAAAAGCAAGGCGATTCGAACAATAACTGATACAGCAGAGAGGACTGCCAAATGGTTATGGATTAAACAAGACAGTTCTTAGGCGTCTATGCGACAATAAAAATAGTTTATGCAATAACATTCGAAAAGGAAAAAAAGAAAGAAGTGAGGGAGAAAAAAGAGGGGAAAAAGGGAAGAAAAGTGAAAGGAAGGGGAAGAGAAGAAAGGAAATAAATGTATAAATAATATAAATTTTAATGTGTAAATAATATAAATATCATTTTAAAATGTTTTTGTTTAAAAATACGCGACTTGAATTATACAGGAACAGCCAATGAACATTTCATGTTAGTTTGTAAAGTGTATTGCTTGTAAATCTGTATAATCCGTTTTTTTAAGTGTTAGGGCCCAATTTTATATGCATCTTTATTTTAAATTATGTACAACCAATAGTTTACTTTTTGTTGGGTTCGATTTTCCATTTTTTAGGTGGGTTTAAACATGATATATATATATATATATATATATATATATATATATATATATATATATATATATATATATATATATAAGGCTGTTTATTTTTCCTTTCGGAATTCTTTTTTTTAAGTAGTTATAAGCATGATATATATTGTAAAGCTGTTTGTTTCCTATTCCTTTCGTAATTTAGCCTATAACTTGATTGTTGTTTCGCATTTTATTATTGTATTTTTAATCGTTTTTCACCGTCCTGGGTATGACGATAAACTACATCCAACAGCAAGGCCTCTGATCAGGAGGTTTTGAGGCGCGTGGAACTGTTTCTTAATTGCTGGTGTTCCCAGGTACACTCTGACCCGGGTGGTACTACCTGTCAGGGTAATGCTATGGGTAAATAGTTAACCCCTCAAATGGGGTCAAGACACCATGAAAGTATAAAAATAGGTATTAATACCAGCAATACTTTTTTGACAAAAATATTACCAGCAATACATTTAAAAAAAAAAATATTGCCAGCATTAAAAATCTTGTCGACATTAAATAACCCATTGAGGTGTTGATATGCCGCAAACAAACAAACCAAACTAATCGTTTTCACAATTTGTGTATAGTTTATTTAATTAGTCTATTTTCTTGATCGTTGTTTCGCATTTTATTATTTGCATTTCAATTGTCTTTATAATTTGTGTATAGTTAAAACCACACGGCTTGGTGATCGGATGTATGATGTTAAAAACTCGAAACATCCCGATGAATCAAGTCAATTTACATCATTGACGACTCAATAGGATGCAAACAAAGAGGAGGCTTATACTTAACATTAGGAAGAGGAAGCTGAAGTTTCTAGGACACATAATGAGGAAGGAGGGCCTGGAGAATCTGATACTCATGGGTCGAATAGAAGGAAAGAGAGACAAAGAAAACAATGCGTGACATACCTGGCGGGCTTAAGCAAGTGGATGACAGAACGTGGTCTGGGGGAGTTAGCAGAGGGAAGGAACTTGTTCAGAACTGCAAGGGATAGAGGGGGTGGAGAGCCATGATCGCCTACGTCCTGAAAGGACACGGCGCATACAAAGAAAGAAAACGACTCTCTCTGGCGCTCTAGTTAGGAGCGTATATTTAAAAAATATTTGTCTGAAGAATTCCATTTGAGGAATACAATGGATACTGTCACTTTTCGTCCATTTTGTCATTTCAGTAACTCACTATTCTTCTGATATCTATAATTGTATATCATGTTGTGAATATATATATATATATATATATATATATATATATTGATTGATTGATTGATTGATCTGTTTTTACGATTTGTCAACCCCTTTGCAAGTTATTTAAAGCCATAAAATAATTTTAGACTCTAAGAATTATCTGGAGATGACAATGATTTACTGATACACGTCCTAGCGATTAGCCCATAGCTTGGGAGAGAAGAGGTGGGTCCATACATTTCCCAGGGGCATTTGCGTGTAAGTGATTATAATGAACCCGACTGGAATTGGAACTTGGCTTTCTGATATCCACTTCCAAGCCATTATCCATTATACCACCCAGACATTCAAGCATACAACTCCTTATATTCCCAAGCAGTCATCGCTCAAGGTACTGACCAGACTCGACGTTGCTTAACTTCAGTGATCCAACGAGAATTGGTGTTTCAACATTATGTGGCCGTAAGCCTGTATGATATATAGAAGATAATGATATAACTTAACCAAAAAGCATACATTGAAAATGTGTTGGCTTTTGTCCGCCTCTTCTCATGTTAAAAATATTATTTTATCTCTAAGTTTAGACTTTATAAAAATCAGTCCAAAAAAAAATGTTTCTTTTCATTCCAGGCTAGAAAAACAAAAATGAAATGTTATAGATATTTTTTCCTAGGAAAATAAATCAATAACTGTCCACACTGTGTGTATTTTGCTTTTGTGTACAAATGATGTAAGCATAAAACTATATTCAGGCAAATTAAAACTATAATGTTTAACTGAGATATTTCTGTCGTACTTTTAGCAAAACAGAGACACCAGTTCCCTCTAAAAATGTATTACCTCATAAGAAAAAAACAACAACAACAAAGTACAAAAAAAGAACAAAAACAAAAACAATTAAAAATAAACAATTCTTTATACCTATTTTGATCTTTAAATTTCTGTTTATGTAAATATCCATATGTATGCTTCTGGAAAATATTTCGGTTGAGCGCTTCGGGAAGTGAATTTGTAAAAAATGACTATTACTGCTGTTGATGCAAGACTCTTCGTTAAGACGAATCGCGTTCTCCGGTTACTGGCGTATTTGTCTAAAAATAAATACGTCTAAATTCACCTCCATCCTTGCCGTGCGCCAATGGTTTAGGGGCAGAATCTCCGACTGATACCAAATCAGTCGGGTTTCGATTCCGGTTTGAGGCTAAAGGATGTCTAGCCACACTGATGAGCTGCGAAACAGTCTGTGAATAACAATATATATATATATATATATATATATAAGGTAGACAACAGATGGAGTAAAACTCCACTGTTCTTTTTTAGCGTATATCTGACTTTCGATTGGTTAATCTAGACATACCCACGAGTATATTTTTAATCATGACCTTATGCCCCCACCACCTTTAACTTCTGAAAAGAGGTAACGATTTACTTCAAATTTCCAAATAAATAATTTTATCTCAAGTTATCTACCATAGCTGACGAAGTACAATCATAGTATTGAAACATGACATCTTTAATGAAGCGATGTAAAATGTTTTTATTATAATCTATTATAATAAATATTAAACACCCTCAGGTGAAAAAAATGCAACCGACCCCTTTGCGGAGTATGCAGCTACCTAGAGGGTCACGAATTTCATTTGAAAGACGGATCAAAATTAAAAATGATTTCTCGTGCGACTCAGAGAATTTAATATACATAGTTACATGCAAAGGTTGCCACGAGCGTTACATTGGCCAAACCGGCTAGTCACTCTGACAAAGAATGACAGTTCATCAACAACAAATTAGGGACCCCAACAACAGAAAAATACCCCTTCGCCAACATATAGAGGAATGCGGAAGACAAAATCTGTCAAGATTTATTGCCTTCTCATTGTAGCAGTACGACTACAGAACCACAAAACAAAGTAGAAAAATAGATTCTACCAAATTTTCCTAATCGTAAGCGACATATATAAACAGTTACGCCCCTTGATTTTTTTTTCATTTTTATCATTTGTTCAAAACATAAGCGTCAACACGTGGAGATACATTTAAAAACTTTTTGAAAAGCTAAGCGAAACCAGTTAAAGTAAAAATAAAGTAAGACAAGGAATTGTTTTTCTACAAAGAAAACCCACTAAATCACAAAATTCAATTGTAAGTAACAAAGTTTTAATTTTAATTTTCTCTGTAAGAATACATATATTATATAAATATTTTTCTAAATTTTAAATATTAGGTGCCTTTTTTCCCAATACTTATTTTAATCTATACAACAAGATTTTGTACAGAATCTTTCTAAAATTATATATATATATATATATATATATATATATATATATATATATATATATATGAGCCCTGTTTCAGAACTGTAGAAAAATGCTAATAGATTTAAGTGCTGTCACTGAAAACTCATTTTTTAAAAACAAAAACGGATCACAGAATGTAACTTAATCGTTACACTGACAAGCTCCAAATATTTGAATCTTTGTATTCATATATATTAACCAACCAGTGATGTCGATGCGCGGTAGTCTTTGAATTGGCAGACGATAAAATATCTTAAAATGAAATTTTGAAGGCTCAACTTCAGAAGATATTCAATAATATTTTTCTTTCTTAAAAGGAATATATAAAAAATATATTAGCCAATAAGCTTTCAATTAAAAAATATAAATTTTAGACCTTCGCGGGGCCTATGTTATTATAAATATGTTTAATTCTTGTCCGCTAACTAGTCTTTCAGTCAACTTTTGACCAAGGTGATTTTCGATCGTTTGTGATTTAAACGAAACTGAAATTCTCACAATTAATTACTCACATTTTTCGCATATTTATTCGAGTATACAATATTACAAATAATGCCTAGCGATAGTTTGTTTATGTGCGTCAACAGTTGCAAAAACTTCCTAGAGATAGTTTGTTTACGTGCATCAACAGTTGCAAAAAACTTCCTGCGTTTCTTTCACAAGGTCTGCAACTACAATTCATACACACATTGAAAACAATCTAAACTTGTGACACATATGTCTGCACACATATAGACGCGTTTATCACACATGCGACTAACTGCTGGATCTTCATATGCACACAGTGCACACACGGAATGTAAACTTGTGACATACACATCCTCACACACGTAGACGCGTTTTCCGATTAACACATACTAACGTAATTCATTCTGTTGTACTGTAAAAAAGAATACTGAAAACATTTTCTATGAAATTGTTTGCAGAGTATATTTTTAATTACTTTCTTTCAATTTGAAAGAAAAATAATACTCAAATAAATAAAAATATTAAAATTTGTAGATCCGTGTTTGAAGATTAATTTAATTTTTCGTTTATACACGCATATTCCGATATATATATATATATATATATATATATATATATATATATAATATATTGTATATATATATTTATATAAATATATTATATACATACATATATATGTATGTATTGTATATATATGTATATAAATGCATTATATATATATATACATACATATAAATACATATATATATATATATATATATATATATATATATATATATATATATATATTGATTTGATCGGAAGGAGACTTTTGATGTTATCGGTCTGAAGGGAGACGATCCCAGCGTGTCGCACCTTTGGAAAGTGCCTGAAAACCATACCACGTGTCGACCCAAGCCTTGTGAGTGAAATTGGGTAGACGTAACGCTTGGGGTCCGTCGATAGCTGTGCTAGCACGAAGTCACAAGTCATCGTGACCGAGAGTTTGAGTGTGCTGGCATTGTTCAGATTGGTGATTATGCTAGGTAACACACTCCCTCCCAAAAACTGTAACTAAGGTCTGCTCAGCATAATTGCAGTATAAACCATGGTTTATCCCTGTGAGTGTTGAACAAACACAAATGTGCCTGAGCGAGAGTCTGCAATAGGGATTGGCTAGCCAACCTAGTAGACGGGTTTCCTCAAATACGTGTGGCCAGCTTTTATATATATATATATATATATATATATATATATATATTTTAAGGCATATTTTTATAGATACAAATATTTGTATCTATAAAAAGAATGTAAACAAATGACGTCATATGTCTGTCTATGAACGAATATTTTCTATGAAAATTTCTCGGACATTCAGGCCGGTAAATGTTATTTAATACTGTTTATCTTAAACAGAGCATTTGCTTAAATACTTGTATCTATAAAATAACAACGTTAAACATAAATAAAAATGTCTTTAATAAATAAATTGTCGGACCTTGTCCATTTCTTAACATATGACGTCATTTGTTTACATTCGATACGCCAGAGCAGTTATGAATGTACGAGATTCATGGAAGATTGTAGTTTATAACAGTAAATTCGACGTTGTCTACCATAAGGTTCATGGTGGCCGAGTGGTTAAGGCATGTCAGCGTATATGACAGTTCCGTATAGGATGCAGGTTCGAATCCTGTCTATGAACGAATATTTTCTATGAAAATTTCTCGGACATTCAGGCCGGTAAATGTTATTTAATACTGTTTATCTTAAACAGAGCATTTGCTTAAATACTTGTATCTATAAAATAACAACGTTAAACATAAATAAAAATGTCTTTAATAAATAAATTGTCGGACCTTGTCCATTTCTTAACATATATATTATAAATTGATTTATTTAAAATATGTTTTTTTTCGCTACACAGTTCTAACCATGTTTCAAAAAATGGAAGCTAAAAGCTACAAATTTAATTTGTTTATATATATATATATATATATATATATATATAATAAAACACCAGTTGACAATAGCAAAAACAAAAAAAAAAAAAAGATTAATTTTTTATTACAAAAAATTTAAAACATCTAACTTTATAGTTAAAAATAATAATTCACCTCTTAGAACAAAAATAAATAGGACAAATATTTACGAATTTAAATGTCCTTTAAGAAATTGTATTCCTGATCAATCGAAATTATATAGGTCATACTACAACATGTTTGACACAAAGAGTTACACTACACCTTTCTGACCATCGCTCAGTTAGGTCTCTTTAAATATTCATGGAGACCTACCGGACACTATTCGTAACATACTTGTTGACAACACTGATATAATAGCATCATCAATACGCAAAAAAAAAAAAAGGCTTAAAACAATGGAAGCCTTATTGCTAAAAACACCCCCACCCCCCAAAAAAAACAAAACAAAAATAACACAATAATATGAAGATGGGCACGATATCTTAACCGTCTTTTGAAGATGAAAACATTATATAAATACATAAATGCAACAAACTATTTTTTGTTAACAGTTAACATATTTCAACCTTGAAAATGGCTAAATGTATAGACGAAAGCGCTCGGATAAAAAGAACATTCCGAGAGTTTTTATATAATTTATAAAAGAAAAAAGTGATTAGATCACATGAGAAATTGTATAAAAAACTAAATCAAAGCATCTTGTCTGTCGTATTCAATGAAATGTGCATGAAAG